AATATCAAACACCCCAAGATCCATTTCCTTTCTACCCACCGTACTCAGACGATCAATGCTACAGACCCACTATGGAACCCCACCCACCGCCAACACGATCAAACTTTGAGGGTATGGGTAACCGACTGTACCAAAGCGGATCTTCTAGATATGGAGATCTAACTGATTTTATGGATCCGGACCACATTGACTTCGCTGGGCCATCGACCTTGCCACAGCAGGAAACACAACGATACCCAGCACGAGAAAGGCGAGGACGGGGATGCAGAACCGGGGGTCATTACTGGGTTCCGGGGGATCACTGATTTATCTGTTTTTTTTCCTGTATTTTTTTATTCGTTTTTTTCTCTGTTTTTTTATCTGTTATTTTAATGTAATACAGTTGGATGTAATTATTTTTTTTTAATAAAAAGTCCATTTTGTTGATCCTCTATCGAACACGCAACGCACCGGACAAAAAAAAAAATCACATTTTGCCCTAAATTAACACCTAGGCGCCATCTCACCTGGCTTAGGGCATTCCCTAAGCACATAGGCGCCAAGTGAGATGGCGTCTCCCCTTAAAATATAGGTGCATGCGCCATTTCAGATGACTCCTCTTTTGAGGAGTCATCTGAAACATGATTATTTGCATTTTTTTCCGAAACGCGGTTATTTGTGAAATATTATTTTAATACATGATTATTAATAAAAAAAATTCGCTACTTTGTTCATATTTATTAATTTACCAGCTGTGAGTATCAAAAGCAGAATGTATGGAAGAGGCTAGAGGTAAAGAAATTACAGTCTAAGTCCTTTATCGTTTCTTTAAGAAAACTCTTTAGTGTTTATAATACTAATTCATGCAATTGTACGTGATTTAAAAAATGTCTATGTAAGCAACAAGAGGCAGGGCTATGAAATATCCTCTAAATATTAATTATTAAGAAAAATAATTTTTAAAATAACATAATATAACTAAAAAAGATATTAATTAATTTATTAGTTAATAAAATATTAATTAATTTAAAAAATAATATAATTAAAATTATTAATTAATTTTTTTAATATAAAATATTAATTAATAAATTAATCTATTCATGAATGTCACATAATTAAAAATAATTTTATTACCTCGATCACCACTGTCATATCAACAAAGTTAGAGGGAGACCATAAAAATCTCAAATGGGATAAAGTTTAGAGACTAAAAATATGTCTTTTTAAAATAGGGAGACTAAAACTTAAAAATAAGGAGACCAAATTATATTTCATCAACAATATATAAGAACAAAAATATTATTGATTCAATTATTTTAGTAAATAATACAAAAACAAAAAGAATAGTTATAGAAGTAAAACAATTATTTTGATAAAAGAATTTCTTTTATTCTAATTTACATTTTGATGAAAAAAGTGTGTATCACACCAATATCGTGTGAACGCACGGAAAACACGTCAGTATTCTTGTTAATACAACGGTAATACACTAGTACCGTGTGAATGCACGAGTAATCATACCAAAACACGTGCGAACACACGAGTAACACATCAGTATTGTGTAACGTACATTTTTGTACAATAAAAGAAAATAAATTACCACTTATGTCAATTGTACTACTGACTTTTTATTTTTTTATATTTTAAACAATAGTCCAAAATTGAATAAATACAATATTTAACTTAATTCTTTTAGATCATTCTCTGTATGGACTTTTATGTAAAATTATTTGCCTACTGATTTTCAACTAATTCTAATTTTAAATATTTATTTGTATCATTTTTTAAACTTTATAAAACCTTTTATTATTACAACTCTATTAACTCTAAAAAAACATTTTTTTCTTCTATTTTTTCACAATTGTTTTTATTATGTATTTAATAGTTCTTCTTAACGATATTGTGTTTAAAAAAACTTATACAATTATCTTTCGTACAATTTTTTTTCTTTTTTTAATAAGATTTTGATATTTATAATTTATTTGAATTTCTATTTTCATTTTATTTTTTGAATTATTTTATTACATTTTGAAAATAAAAGTGTGTATACCATACCAATATCTATGCAACACGGGTAAAACACCAGTATCGAGTGAGCGCACGGGCAACCATACTAATGTATGAATCCAAACACAAGAAAAATAATTTTTTAATTATTTATATTATAAATATTCTTATTTTAAAATTATTTTTAATTAAAGATATGATATTTTTTTAACTAATTTATGAAAAATGGAAATATATATTAACGATGTAATGGTAAAACAATTTTATTTTTATTTTAAAAATATGTTTTCATTTTAAAAATATTTTTTTATTTTAAAAATAATAAAGTCTTTTGGTAAAATAAATATTTTTTCTTATTTACATTTTTATTAAAATTTTAAAACAAATGTGTGCGTAGTATATCAATATTCTTGCAAACACACAATATACAATTAGTTTACATAATATTCAATTAGTTTTGTAATGAACTAATGAAGATAATTCTTACACTTTGTACGTGAATTTAGGAGGTGGCATCTAAAAGAAATTAATTTTTTGAATAAGAAAAAAATTTATTATTCAAAAAGACGCTGGGATACAGAGCCATCGCTAACGATCCAATCCAGCAAGAGAGAAAGGAAAACCAGAAACTAATATAACATAAATCTAGCAATGTGACTCCTAAACTTTTTGCAAAGCCAACCTCTATAAACAATCTCATCAATAATCTGAGAAGCAATGCTATTGGAATCAACATAATTCTTGAAGCAAATATCAATCCAAATGTGCCAAACACCATACACAGTTTCAGTTGCAGCCAGCTTCATAAGGGAGTTCCTCTAGCTCTTCCACCTACTATTATTACCATGGCCAAAACTTTTTGTTTTCTCTAAAAGAAATTATTAACATGGACAAAACGTTTTGTTTTGTAACAGGTCGGCTATGTCTAAATTCAATAATTATACTTTGAGTATATAGTCTTAAAGTTTAAAGATCTCTTTGTGACAATATTTTCAAATATATAAATTCAAAATTGTTGATATTTTCTAGCAATAGGATGTGTTTTATTTTGAGATCTCATAATTGTAAAAAAAAAAAATTAAAATATAAGTGATAATATTTATATCTCTATGTGATTGAAATGAGAGTATGAAAACAGTACAGTGAGACAACTTATAGATGAAAACAAGCTACTATCTTTATCGTTTGTTTTCAAACTTGTATATGTTATATTAATTATTTAATTAATAAAATATGAATTGAAATTATTAATTATTAATTAATTATAATTAGGTCAATTGTTATCAAACATTAACTAGACGTATATCCGTGGGTTGCACAGATAAATTTTATAAGATAATTATTTATGAATATTAATTTAATCTAATTTTTTAAAATATTATTATAAATATTTAAAATCAAAATATTAATTGTGAAGTTAAAATATTATAAAAATAAAGATATATAAATGTAAATTTAAAATAGAAGAAGACTGCTTTCAAGTACATAAATGCAACTACTGAGTTGGAAAACTATAATAATGAAGTTAGTGTCAACTGGAAGAAGACTGTTAAGGGCCACCAGTTTCAACTGCTTTGGAATAAGCTTATGAGGATGCAACAGGTTGTTAGGAAGTTGCATAAACCCCTGGTAAGCATATCCAGCTAAATTGTTGAGAAGAGACAACAGCTAAATTGTTGCATAGTATTGGTGATCAAACGGCTTCAGGTATCGATGGGTTTGGATCTAAACTTTTCAAACACTCTTGGCAGGTTTTGAAGGCTGATGTGCTCAACACAGTTAAGCTTTTCTTTGAAGAGGGTATCCTGGATAGGAGGCTCAACAGAACATTGGTGACTCTTATTCCGAAGCATGAGAATGCCCTCAATATTAAAGATTTTCGCCCTATATCTTGCTGCACTACTGCCTACAAAATCATTTCCAAAATTATGGCCAACATGATGAGCACTGTGCTTGGCAGTATTATTAGTAAAAACCAGGCAGCGTTTGTGCCTAGCCAGAAGATCCACAATCATATCCTCGTTGTGTATGAGCTTATCAGAGGTTATAACAGAAAAGGGGGAGTGCCTCGTTGTATGATGCAGATGGACATTATGAAAGCTTATAATTCTGTTGATTAGATTGCGTTGCAAACTATCTTGGCTGAATTAGGTTTTTTGAGGAGATTTGTCAGGTGGGTTATGCAAGTTGTGTCTACTGTTTCATACAAATTTAATATCAATGGAAGATCCTTTTGGAGATTGAAAGCTTCTAGAGGGCTGAGACAGGGGGACCCTATCTCTCCCATTTTGTTTGTTGTGATAATGGAATACCTCCATAAAAAATTGTATACCCTGACCTCTATTCCTAATTTCAATTTTAATAGCAAATGCGAGAGGCTGAATTTAGTTGAGCTAAGTTTTGTTGATGGCCTCTTAATCTTTTCTAGAGGTGATATTGTCTCTAATTTCTCCTTATCCACTGGTTTAAAGATGAATCCTAGCAAATGTAAAATTTTGTGTGGTGGTTTGAATGTTGGTGAGCAGGCTGTTTTGGAGCAAATCACAGGGTTTAGTAGAGGTTGTCTCCCTTTCACCTATTTAGGGATCCCTCTTAATAGAAGAAATATGTCTTCTTCTCAATGCTATGAGCTTGCGTATAAAATTAGTTCGCGAATCAGACATTGGAGCTCCTACTTACTTACCTATGCTGACAGGGTTCAGTTAGTGAATACGACAATTTTTGGGTGTGCCAATTATTGAATGAGTTGTCTTCCTCTGCCGATAGGTGTGACCAAGAAGCTTGCGGCTATGTGCAGAACCTTTGTTTGGGCTGGAAAATATATTGTATCGAGAAAGTCCCCTGTGGCGTGGGAGAGGGTGTGTGCTCCTAAGAAGCAAGGCAGGTTAGGTATTGTCAACCTGGCCGTTTGGAATAAAGTGTGTATGTGCAAACTTCTTTGGAGTCTTAGCAACAAAATCGACAGCTTGTGGGTCTGGTGGATACATGCCTATTATGTGAAGAATGATGATATTATGCTAATGGATATCAAGAATAATGGCTCCTGGATCCTGCGCAGCATCCTTCAGATTAGGCCTGATGCGAAGAGGTTAACCCAGTGGGATAGCTTGAAGAGATCTGAGAAATTCCGATTGAACAAGGCCTACATTGAATTTTTGAAGGAGATTCCCAATGTGGTTTGGAGTGGTCTTGTTAGGAGTAATATTGCTAGGCCTCGTGCGGTGTTCTTGTTGTGGCTTGCTTGTCACAAACGGCTGCCTACTAAGGATAGATTGATGAAGATTGACATCTTCCACCAGCCCAATTGCATATTCTGTAATTGTGCTGAATCGGTTCAACACTTGTTTTTTGAATGCAATGTTACTAGTGTTGTTTGGGAGGGAGTCCTAAGGTGGTTAAATGTTAACGATAATATTCTAGGCTAGAATCATGAACTTGAGTGGATTGTGAAAGTGTGTAGGAGCAAGAATTTGCGTGGTCAATTCCTAAAGATTGCCGTAGCGAAAACAATTTATGAGATTGGGTGGAATAGAAATAGGATTGTCTATAATAAAAACTATACTATTAGAAATACGGTTAATGTTATTGTGGATAATATAGTGAATAGAGTGTGGGTATTCCCTAAGTATAGACATAGAATTGTCCAGATTTTATTGTCTTAATTTGGAGGGCCGGAGTGGATTTTTCTTTGGGGGATCTTTTGGGTCGCGTTGTATTGTATTATTTTTGGTTAATATAATCTTTATTTCTAAAAAAAAATTTAAATAAAAGAAAATTAATTAAATTGAGTATTCAAATTTAATAGTTCACATCTTATAGAAAAATAATAATATTTATTTTCATCATAATCCAAAAAAAAATACAATTTGTAAAGTGGAAAAAATAGTATCCTATAATGTATTGGTACAGACAAAATAAAATTATAAAATCAATTTTAAAAATTAATTAATCTTGTAAGAATAGAATTAAAATAATAGTTAAATAATTTAAATTATTAACTCTTTCTTTTTAATTCATATTTGATTTGTGATGTCTTTTATATTTGTTACTCTTATTAAACCAAACACAAATTAATAGTCACTGAGTAGTTAGTATAGTACTCCACGTTATTCCAAGTATAACCTTTTAATTTCACGTTATAACTTTTGTGATTTTAGGGATAAAAATATCTTTTAGTATTTAATATTCTTGAGGTGTCAATTATATATTTTTTTCAGGTTGAATTTTTGTTTATTTTATTCTATTTTATAGTGATTTTTCGATGCAGAATTTATTTGAACAACTTCACATTTTTCAAATACATCTTAGAAGTTATTCAAAAGTCACTTTGATAGATACAATATTCCATAGGAAAACCATGGAATATTGTCTTAATTTGGAGGGCCGGAGTGGATTTTTCTTTGGGGAATCCTTTGGGTCGCGTTGTATTGTATTATTTTTGGTTAATATAATCTTTATTTCTAAAAAAAAATTAAAATAAAAGAAATATAATTAAATTGAGTATTCAAATTTAATAGTTTACATCTTATAGAAAAATAATAATATTTATTTTCATCATAATCCCAAAAAAAATACAATTTGTAAAGTGGAAAAAATAGTATCCTATAATGTATTGGTACAGACAAAATAAAATTTTAAAATCAATTTTAAAAATTAATTAATCTTGTAACAATAGAATTAAAATAATAGTTAAATAATTTAAATTAATAACTCTTTCTTTTTAATTCATATTTGATTTGTGATGTCTTTTATATTTTTTACTCTTATTAAACCAAACACAAATTAATAGTCACTAAGTAGTTAGTATAGTACTCCACGTTATTCCAAGTATAACCTTCTAATTTCACATTATAACTTTTGTGATTTTAGGGATAAAAATATCTTTTGGTATTTAATATTTCTGAGGTGTCAATCATATATTTTTTTCGGGTTGAGTTTTTGTTTATTTTATTCTATTTCATACTGAATTTCGATGTAAAATTTATTTGCACAACTTCACATTTTTCAAATACATCTTAAAAGTTATTCAAAAGTCACTTTGATAGATACAATATTTCATAGGAAAACCAAAATCAGTTACAACTATACATCTTATGCCTGTCCATATTGATACGCAAAGTTGGTAGAATCCTTTTGTATCATAGAATTGATCCATTATAGCATTGAATTTTCGAGTTTCCACTTTCCCATTTATACATTAAATAACCTTTACTAACAAACCCAACCTGATATAGAGTTCATCACTTTCTCACTTGCAATGGACAAATCGAAGTTATGAATGTTCAACGAGAAGCTCAAAACCAATAGCTCCAATTTGAGTCAAATCGTATGCAGCAAAATGAAGGAAATACTCGAAACTCCGACGCTGGAATCAAAGACGATTGACAAAGCAACATCGGAAGCGTCAATTCGACTAGAAAAAAATTTGTGTTATTTCATGTTACCTCAATTCATTTATGCGGTTGAGGATTTCGATCGAGTAATCTTTGATTTCATTTATGCTAAGGTAAAATTCTTCGGTTCATGTCTCTTTGATTTGATCTATGGTGTTTTTTTTTTTTTTATGTTGTATTCCATGATTATGATTTTGTTAGCTTATTTTGATTTTGCTTAACTTTATTTAATGATTGAGAAATTCATATTTATAATGAATCGATTTGTGTTTGTAATCTTTGATTCATTTTAGCTAGTTGAATCGATTGTTTTTTCTGTATTTATAGATCTGGTGAATTTTTTATTAAATCATATAATTTGGTTTTAAAAGTCTGAGCTTTTAATATTTTGGTTTTTATCGATCTATTAAAATATTAGACTGAGTTGCAATTGGAATTCGTTTAATCATGGATGAAAATTAGATTTTTTCCGATGGATATTTTAAATTCATCTGAAACATCAAAAACCTTGTTATTGCTTTTCATCTTTTTCGATACCAGAAATCGGAATTAAACAAGCACGTCTTAACCAATTGGAAGAAAGCTAATTGTAAGCATTTTAATTTTTTTGTATTCCGCTCATTCATTTGTGTTTAATGCATTAATACCTCAGTTTTATAACATTGATTCGTCTCATTTTCTAAGACTATCATTTTACACTACAAACAAACAAATCATGAAGTTGTTCTCTCCATTCGAAGCACTTGTCGAAGGTGTGTGTATCCTTTTTTCCCCTTATCATCCTCTAATTACATCGCTATATTGGTTCTAATATTCTGTTTTTTCAAATTGAGAGTTGTGATAATTGACTAGGAGATATTCTGTTGTTTTTTTATCAATAGCTAAAGTGAAATTTCTTAGCATGTTAGTTCAAACATACCAATTGAAAGTCAAACCACCACTTACAAATATTTAAAGAAAATCGTTGAATATTAATCGATGTTAGTATGAATGGTGTAGAGCATGATGTGAATGTGATATCAACATTTAAAAATACATATCTTTAATCCTTCATTGGCCTAAGCAACATGTTTAATGTAACATTCATTTCTAAAGAATTAGGATGTGATTTATCATTGGATACAAATGAATGAACTTCATTATCAATCTTCTTGACTTCAATTCTATGTATAATATCTTATGCAAACTATTATATGGTTTTAATTATGCATTGATATAATATACTTTTGTAGAGAGCTCCAAATATTGTATTGATCAATGCTTTAGAGAAGGTTTATTATTGTAATCTGAATTTTTCCTTTGATATCAGGATATTTTCCTTTGCCAAGAGACGTACTATGTACTCTTCCTACTGTTGGCTCCATCTTGAGGATTGCTTTTGAACTATCTATAGAAAAAAATCATCTCAATGTTCTTAAAAGTGGTAAATAGGCCAAGTTTATCAACATTCATCTCAAAGTGTATACATGACCATGGTATGGTGTTTTTACCTCACATTTGAAGCTTCGACATACACCAAATAAAGACCGTTTTATTACAGAACGCCAAAAGTGGAGTTACCAAATTAGTGGAGTCATAATATATGATTTTGTAGATTGGGTCTGTTAACTATTATGATTTCATTATGAATTTGTTAAGCCAGGTTGTATGTTGACCGTTTATTGTTAAAATCAGGAAACATGCTTATTGGAATCATACCTCAGTCCATTGACAACTTACCCGAGTCTTTACGTCTTACAAGTAATAATTATTTATTACATTTTTACCAGTCTCTTAGATAATGGCGCAAATTTTTTCTTTCCTTGCGGGATATTTAACTATGTTTGACCTTTACAGATGATAATCACGATCATGTGTGGCATCTTACTTTTATGAATATACTTACTCATTCAGAGGTAGTAAACTGTTAATTTATTACTTATCTGTAAATTGGTATATGTGGCTGATCCTTTTTTTAATTTGAATATGAATCATGCTGAAAACATCCTTTATAGTTAATGGTCAAAGGATATCAATGACTCAAAGGACTTATGAAAGATTCTTGGGGCTGGAGTCAAGGTTGGTGTTTCTGCCAAAAAAAAAAGTTCAAAATGTTCGGTCAAACACATTGCAATATGAAGGAAAATTTTTGGAATGGTCTTCATAATTTAAGCGGCTGTAGAAAGAGATTATTGAACTCTGGCATTCTTGCAATGTTTCATTGATCCTCAGAACTTACTTTTTTCTTCTATTTAAAGGGGACCCTTCAGATTCTATCTATATGGAGGTAGAGCTGAGAAGGCTATCCTATCTCAAAGAGAATCTAATTTTGGAAGATGGATGAACCCTTACACCTGAATCGATTTAATAATATTTCATGCATTTGGTTTAGTTAAAATTGCATTTAACTTTTTACTTTAACTAAAGTTTACATTGTGTAATAAGTTAATAAAAAACTTATAATGTCATGAGTTTCCTTTGCAAACAGCAAAATATATCTTCGAAGAGAGAGGCAAATGTTGAGTAGACAAGTAGAGAGAAGGTTGTCAAAATCTTAAAGAAAAAACATGTATTTTAGGTGGGATATTAGTACGAGTTCAAATCATAGGAGCTTGCGATAACTCTAACTCAAAGATGGGTCCAAGTTGCACACGGGATACTTTGGTTTTTGTATCATATTGGTTAATTTCTCATGTTGTGGTGCTTTCTCACTTAGTCTCAATCTTCTATTGGACTTAGCATTGACGTATACTATAGAAAGAACATGTTCAAATAGGTCCTCTTTACTATCTTTGAGTGAATTCAGTACAACATAGTTGAAAATATGATGTTTATATTAGACAAAACAAATTTTTATTTTTTGAACTAGATAAAAAGAATTTGGCATACATGAATTTCATGTCTGCACACTCACCTTACAATTGTCAGTATGTTATAATCACCAATTTCACTTGAAAAATTAATCAAATTAGCTTAATTTTAAAATAAAATTTTAATTGTATATGAATTTTAATTTAGAAGAAACAATAAAATAAATTAATTTTTGATTTCTCAAAATTGATTCAGATTTGTTAAGTTTTTTTTAGATTAAACACTTGAAATTTTAATATTAAAGAAGTATTTATGAGATTAAACCAGACTATTCATATCTTTCTTTAGCATTGAAAAATGCTATTATCAGTGTTTTGTAAGAACAAGCTAATTACTTAAACAAGCTAATTAATTGTGAATGCATCTATGAATATAAATTCACATATACATATAAATGTATCTATGAGATATAAGTGGTA